CTATTTGGGTTTATATAAATACATAACTAGGGTTTGAGGTCCATTAAGGTTTTCATTATTCTTGCTAGCACAAGAGAAAACCCTAGAGGCTGCAATCATATTCTCTGTGTGGATCACCGTTGGAGGCTGGACAATTGGACAGCTGTGGTGGCGTATCAAGGTTGATGGAACGAAAAGAAAAGCAAAAAGATTGCAGATCTGAAAATGTACAATCTTATCACAATTTCTATCTAAACACAAAGGCGATTCTTGGTGGGAACCGAAAATTATTTTAAATTCCGCTATGAATGTATAAGTAGATTCCCAACAGTGGTATCAGAGCCCACTTTGTATTTGTTAGAAATTGATTTGCATATTATTGAAATCAAAAGTTGATTATTCATGTTTTATTGTTTCTAGCAATTGAAGATTTATTTTTGTGTTCAAAATTGTTTTGAATAAAAGAAAAATAATTTTGGATCGAAATATTGTTTTAACCAAAAAAAAAGAAAGAAGGCGGGGATGGCGGTGTTGGACACGGCAGCGGTGGCGCACCACCCGTGTCCGACCGCGCACAGCTACAGCAGCACGCTTGCTGCAGCTGGCAGCGGCTCACTGCCGCTGCAGAAGGAAGGCAGCAGCGCTCGCGGCGCTACTGCTGGTTATTGCAACAGCGTCGCGTCGCTGCTGCAAGGGCGAAGACAGCGGCGGCTGTTGTCATTAACGGGCGGCGACCGTCGCCACCCCCTAATATTTAAAAAAAAATTGGATTTTAGGGTTAATCGGGTGAGAGGTTGGTGGAGACAGGGGTCTTCTCTGCAATTAATGTAATTGTGGGGGCCCGACCGCAATATAATGTTGGGGGTCCATTTGTTAAAATTTTAAAATAATGGTTATTTTGCAAAAGGTTGATATTGAGGACTCTTGCTTGCAATTCCACTACCGGGGTCGTTTCTGTAAATAACAAAATGGGCCCTTTTATAATTTAAAGAAATTGGAGGTCCTGTTTATAATTTTAAAATGAGTCAATTTGCAAGTTTCAAAATGGTTTTGAATTTGAATTTTAAAATGGTTTTAAAATTGTATTTCAAATGGGTTATGACCTATTTTGACTAAAGTTTTAATTTTGACTCAAATTAAAATCTTATTTAAAAAAAATTGACTACATTTTATATTTTTGTTAAAATTAGATTTTGACTTAAATATTAAACTTTGACCCTAAATTGAATTTTATTTTATTTTAGGAGTTTTATCCTAAATTAAAATCTTAATTCAATTTAAGTTAGAATTGGATTCTAATTTAGTGTTTAATTAAAATTTGATTTTAATTAAATTATTCACCCAAAGATATTTTAGATATTAGAATTAGATTCTAATTTGACGTTTAATTAAAATTTGATTTTAATTAAATTGCCTCGCCCTAAATTTCTTCTTGAAATTAGAGTTGGACTCTAATTTGATATTTAATTAAAATTTTGATTTTAATTAAATTAATTCGCCCTTAATTATTGGAATTAGAGTTAGACTCTAATTTTGTTATTTAATTAAAATTTGATTTTAATTAAATTCCACCGCCTTAAATTGTGAAATTAGAGTTTGACTCTAATTTGATTTTTAATTAAAACTTGATTTTAATTGGATTATCCCGCCATATAATTGTTGAATTAGAGTTGGATTATAATTTGTTATTTAATTAAAATTTGATTTTAAATAGTGGGAGCATAATTAATTTAATAAAAGACCATATTAAATTAACTGATGCATTTTATATATTATTATTTCCTTTTTGTCATTTATATTTATTGAATATGAGTAATCATATATTTTGAATGGCATACTAGATGCCAACAACCAAACTATATTTTCTTAATTGACACTGCAATCTGAGAATTGTTCTTATGCATGAGAAAATTGGTCACGTCCTTGAGTAGCCCTTTCCAGAGACACCTGGTGATGACTCGATTAAAGAAGAGGTGGCTACTATAGTAAACGCAGTGATGATAATAGAACTGCAACGTATGTGATACTTGCAACTATGTCACTGAGTTACAAAAGCGACTTGAGAGTATAGATGTTGACACATAATCCTTCATTACAAAGGGTTGTATGATAATAATCATGTGTGGAAGGATATGAGACTTCCGAACAACTATACGGGTGCAAAATGACAGAGTAATCTTCAATCGATACTTAGACATTGAAGATGATTGACGTTGAGAAATGTCTCAATTGAGTTCAATTACAAACCATGAACTAAGTAGTGACTTGGTTCTGCAATCTCTGTCAGAGAAAGCTATTCATAACTAATTATGAATTTGACGTGAATAAGTTTGAATGCACAATTATTAAGTTGCTTAATTTGCTTAAGACTGTTAAGCCCAACATCGAAGTCAGTAGTGGGCAAGTCATTGATTCCTCTAAAAATATTAAGAGGAAGGAGCTTTGTAAAAGCGTCCAATATGGTCAAGACAGTGTAAACAAAGGATAATACCAAATATAATGACCCTTGGTTTCATTAGAAGGAATATTGTATGGCTTACGTCTACTTCACAAGTTTCTTAAGTATCTGATACCAGATGTAAATCCCATAGTTATACAAATATGGAGAAACTTAATAGAAGTATACTACTGCGAAAGGAAGAAGTTAACCTACATGATGGAGATGAGCAAATGTTGCTGCATTGCCTGTAGAAACATACTTCTTACCGTTGCCCTTTGACTTAGTAATGGAATTAGAGAAATGTTGCTTTGTACCCACCATAGCTAGAACATTAAAATGAATTTCATGTTCAGACATGAAGCATTTTAATATTAAGGACAATTGTTGTTCCTGTATATCTTGATTAAGAACTTAATAGTTATGGTAAGTTACAAAATAACATTTATATTCTAAATACTAAGGATTCTATAATGAGTATAGAAATTATAAAGCATAAATGTGATAATCTAATTATTACCAAGATCTGGCATGACAGACTTTGTCATATAGATAAAAAGTAATTCCAAAGTTACATAGAGATGTATACTTGGGATTAACTGATTTTGACAAGTACAAATTATGCATGTCTGGGACAATGACCAAATCTTCTTTTAATTGAAAAGAAGAAAGGTCAGTACACTATGCATATGGACTCATGTCAAAAGATGCCAGGTAATGTTTCTCTTATTTCATCAATGATCATGTATATTTGATGAAAATTCAAACATGAAATTCTTGAAAAGTTCAAGGGATTCACACTAGAATTAGAGAAACAAATAGGTAAAGATACCCACACATTAAGATTTGATCAAGTGAGAGTATCTTAAAGATAAAATTTAGATTATCTAAGAGAGAATAAGATTCTCGTGCAGTGGACTCCTTCATATACACTGCAGCAAGGTGGTGTATCTAAAATGAGGAATCGTTAATTATTACATATAATGCGATTAATAAGAAGCCATGCAAATTTCCCAAAATTGTTTTGAGGTCACGCATTGATTGCAGTGTGCAACACACTAAACAATGTCCCATCTAAATTGGTTAACAGAACTCCATACGAGTTATGGAAAGACAATAGTCCCAATTTATCTTATATGAAAGATTGGGGTCATGACGCTTATTTGAAGCGCCTTAAATCGGATAAGTTTGAGACCGAATCCGATAAATACATATCTGTGTGATATTCAAAGGAGACATTTGAATATAAATTCTATTATCATGAAGAAAGTCTTCGTCTCACGACACATCGTCTTCTTAGAGAAAATGTCTACTCTAGGATAGGACAGTGGGAGTAAAATAGAATTTTGAAAGAGTTCAAGAGTCCACAGATATAGTTAACCAAGTAGATAAATCCGGGTTTGATCTCATATCTGATATGTGACATACTTTGGATCAGGAAGTAAAGACTCCTGAGAACATGACAGCTCTATGTGAATCTAGTAGGATCATTCGACCTTCAAGAAGGTGCAAATTCATGATCATTAATCAGGTATTAGTGATCCAGGATAATGAACCTGCTAGTTGCAACAAAATAAAGTCAAGTGT